CTCCTTTTTCCCTCTGGCCCCCTTCCCCTCCTTCCCGCGCGTGGGCTCTGGGGAAGCAGAGCAGCCCCTACCGAAGTCCTGAATCAATCCCTCGCAAAAGGCGCCTGAAATCCGGTCGAGGGCTGCTGGTTGACCAATTAGTGCTTGGCGTGGGCAAGTTTTGCCCACCCCCACTGGGGATTTTTTAGTATTTTTATTTGGTACGTGCTTATATCTGAACACAGTAAAAGCCTGATTCTTGGGAAACTTAAGACAAGCCAAAAAAAGCCTTGTTTTTTTTTTAATCCGTGTGATCCTGCTTTGTTCTTTCGTCCGAGAACAAACAGCGTTGAAATACACCCTTATTGATCAGAGTTCAAATTCAAGAAAACGCCTTTTTAAAAAATCCTCTGCTTTTCATTTACTGTCAGCCAGCGATCAGACTTAGAAGGAACGTGTCCAAAGGACTGTGTAAATTCTGCCTATTGTGTATTTTTAGGTTTAATCGGGTATTTGGTTCTCCTTACAAAGGAACTATCAGAACACAAGATCCAACCCCACTTAAAATCTTCATATCCAGAAAAATCCCCATTTCATTTGAAAAAAATGGAACGTTCTTCTCTAATAACATGTCCCTCTGATTAATACACCTTAATTAAACAAGTTAGGAGCCCAGCTCTGTGAGATGTCTGGTTAAAACTACTTGTCATTTCTTCAGTGCTAGGAAATTCTATCTACAGGAATGAAGAAGAGCGGATGGGAATTAATTGGCCATGACTTCTAATCCATACAACTTCCGAGTTCAAGAGTAGAATTAAAGTCACAACAAAACACATTTGAAGTGACAGTCTCTTTTATACACCTGTTTGGGAGGGTTTTTTTTTTACACTAAACTTAAATGGGCCTTTTGTTTGATTCCACATTGCTATTTCAATGTTTGAGGCGTAGAGCCATTTCCATATCATGTCACCCCAAAATGGGGTCTTTCCAGCAGGTATAGTCAAACGAAACGCCTTTCCATCTGGGCTGTTTGATAAATGTTTTCAATTGTGCTGGGTCCTATCTGGGGTGTGTGTGTGTGTGTGAATCTAGCACATACATCTGGAAAAGAGATTCTGTCAACAGAGGTGCTCCAAAATGATTCTAGATCTACTTGGTAGCTGAATTTGGTTTTCCTGCCCCAGAGGGCACCTCAGCTGGGGATGAATGTTTGGGGAGGTGGCATTTGCATTCTGCACAGTGCCCCCACCCTTGATGATGGCTCACTCTGATGCAGGAACTGGGCAGGAAGCATATTTCCTGCTGCCTCTGGAAGCGGTTGCTGCATCTCCAAGCCCCACCGTGGAGGCCTTGCCACCAGCCCCACGGGAGATGCTTCTACCTAACCATAATGGAGGCGGCGTCACAGCAAACCCACCTGGCTCGGAGAACCAGACAGCTTCAGAGCGGAGCAGCCTCCTGAGCGGTTACCAGGAGGGTGTGGAGGGGAGGGGAGTCTCACGTGCCGGGTTTCATCTGGAGGGAGAGGGGACAAATCTGCCAGCAGCCTGGCCCAGATTGAGCAGGTGTGTTTTCCTACTCCTTGACCTGAGCTCACCTTTCTGTGTGAGTTTATGCCAGCGCATTAACCCAGGATCTGTATCCGATGCAAAAGGCAGCAGTTCTGGCTTCATCCAATGCGCTCCATCGCCGACTGGGCCTTGGGAGGGGAGCCCTGCCCTCCTTCCTCTCGGCCACATCAACCCCAGAGTTGCTGCTCTGGAGGGCCAGGGCAGAATTTCAACTGGGGAGTTGAAAGACCCTCTTCGACCTTCCAAAGGGACCTTCCTGGTGGTCCGAAATGTCTTTGTTTCAACACAACGTCTCTGATACACAGCTGGGGCGAAAACAAGTTTTAAAGACAAGCTGATTCACGAGGGCAGACCTTTTGGAAACAACAAGCCTCTTTAGTATTTGTGTGATTAAGGCCAGGCTGGTTTGTGTGTGTGCATGCTTCTATGTTTATACAGCCCCATCCAAGGCCAAAAAGGAAAAATCCCCAGATCCAGGGGGCTCAGACCCTTGATCTGACCAGGTCCTCCCCATCCAGACCCAAATAACCTCAAGACACTGGGTGGGGACATTGACAGCATCCCCTGGGGCCAGAGACAAGGTGTCTAATTAAGTATCAGCCTCATGCTGATGCCACCAGACCCCAGACCTGCTGAGGACCTTAGGGTGCTGGGAGACACAAGCAGAACTTGCTTCTCTCTGGGTTCGATGAGCTTGTTCTAGATAGGATTTCAAACCAGAATCAACCAAACCCACAGGGGATAAATTAACACATGGGGTGGGTGGAACTAGGGATAGGGGGAAATTCTGCTGCTCCCTCCCCCCGCCCCCCGCCCATTCGTTTTAATTCAGTCTGACAAAAGAAAAATATCTTTTACATTTCTTCAACGGAGAAGAGAAAGTTGGCCAGTTTGTCCTAGCTGAAGCCGTGCACGCTTGCTTGCACCGAGTTCCTGATGGAGCTGGGTGTGAAACGTTATTTCGTTCTGATGGATCCTTTGATGTTGCTTCAGTCATCAAGACTCTAAGACACTGTTCCTCAACCTTGGCCACTTTAAGATATGTGGACTTCAACTCCCAGAATTCCCCATCCCCACAATAGCGGGGGG